TCGAATTGTGACCGCTTAATACTATGAAGCTAATTTTATTCTTCAATATCCACTGTAGTTAAGCTATAAATATACACATTTTACGTTTTTGACAATTATTATCAATTGTCTAAATTAATCATTCCATACAGATCGGTAAATCTAAATAATATTATAACCACAGTGGGAATATTGTGTTATTATATTGGTTGGCTACTTATTACCAAAGCTAAAAATAGCTGATAAACTACTCAGTTGTAGTAGGTACACTTTGAATTACAAAAAAGTAGATAGGGTAATTTCAAAACTATTTTTTCAACCAAACTATTTTTAACTCTATTTTTCTTTGTTAACTTGGTTATTTCCCACCCTTTGCTTCTGTTACGTGCCAGAATCTTTCAAAACTGCGACTCTAGAGAATTCTAGCAGAAACTACTAGTGAAGTTACACATTCGTTTGGTTTTTCTTGGCATAATCTATAGTTAAAATAGTCAGTGAAGTATTTGGTAGCTGAATACAGATAAACTAGGTTACCCAACCTAACTTTGTGCATTTACGCTATTGCGTAAATCACCCCCCGTGAAAAAATCTTGATATTTTAGCTATTTCTTATTCGATCTTTTTGAACTTTGTATCGTTTAATAGGGAATTGAAAATTCTAAATAAAAGTGTTCTAGACATTTTTTCAAAAAATTATCCGTTTTTGAGTAATTTAAGTTTAAAAAATAAAAATGGCCGCCATTTTGAAATTTTAAGTTAAATCAAGATGATTTTTTTTTCTAACATTGGTCTTTTCTACTTTAACCTACATACCAAGTTTAATAAAGATCGGTTGAAAAAATTCAAAAATAAAAATGTTTATGTAAAAAGTACAAAATACCGGATATTTGGTTAATGGAGTGGTTTAGGAAAAAATGTTATTCTTGATTTTCTCTTTATTTTGACCCATAAAACCATTTCCCGGAGCTTGGCTGTTTACTAACGGGACATCCTGTATAATTATTTATTTTTAAATATTCAAATTTTATTTTAAGGCTAAGGCCATTTAAAAAGTAAACCATGGAACCAGACTAAACTCCATCGATCATTTTAACAATAGCTCCAGCGACATGCCCGTTGGCCAGAAACTTGATTTACTGCTGACGTTTGTTACCGGGATAAAGAATTACAATAAAAAGTTAACGGTGACATTTTATTTATCAAGCAGGACATATAGGACTTTGACAATGATTTGAAGAGTGAACAAAATTATGATTATGGTATAAGTTATATGGAGACTGTGATTTAAGGTTTTTGCACTGTGAAGATACTATAACATAACCATATACATAACCATAAATAATCCTAATGTTGAATTCAAAGCTTTTAGAAAGTTGTTAGAATCATGCTACAAATATGCACAATGTGACTGAAGAAATATAGTAGTATTTTGTATGTTGTTGCAGCTTCTTTTTGTGTGTAATATTGTTAGCTATATTTTCTTCGTTGTCAATCATAAAAACGTCACTCGTTTATATACATTATAGCTTTTATAAAGTATATTCTTCTCATGTTTAAGGACATTTTTCTAATTCAAATATTCTATTATTGTCGGGGCCACATAAGTTTGCAGTTGAGGGAGGAGCCTATTTACCATATGGGTTTGAATGAACCAATAAGAACCGTGCGGTGTGGCCAAATCTAATAATACCAGCTGATTTGAAAATATTGCTTAGCATATTTTATTAGTGCAATGTGGCAACGTTGCACTAGCCTTGTCTTGTGATTGGCTGTTACCAACTGCAAACTTACGTGGTCCCGACATTAGGTTGTACGGTTGTAGGTTCAGTAGTTTGTATTTCATAACAATTAATTTTCATAACAAAATATTACGTTATATTAATATAGAAAGTATTTTATGATTTCCAACAAGTAACTACAGATTAGATAAATGGAGGTAATATAGATCACATGTCAATAGCTGCTACCGCCTCCACTCCTTGTGTGGCACAACGTGGAACTAACAGAATAGGCATCTTGTACAGAACTGACTATTTAAGTTGTAATTGTGAAATTGCTAGAACATATTCAAACTCAAAGTATATTATTTTGTTTACAATATATACACAATGGTTAAATCTAGTTGTTGAATATAGCTACCTAATACTGTAAAAGTAGGTTGGTGGACTACAGTAAAAGAGCGATTCAACAACCAGCATTATAGTGCGAAGTTAGTTTAGTGGTAATTTGTAGACACTACCTAAAAAAATGTCAACATTTCATTCGATCATGCTATACCGAAAGACAGATTGTTGCCATCTTCATATACTAATCAACATGGTTATTAAAAAGTAAAAATAAAAAATAATGCGACTTCTCTAGGAGTCTAACTACCATAAAAATTTTTTTTTTTTCTTTACGTTTTAAAATTTTTCCCGTAGTATAGTTTAAAGTTCAGAGTAAGTATATCATATCATTATATTTTCAATCGTTATTTTAAAATGATTGTTAAAAGAACTTAAAATTGTAGATATTATTTTTCCTTAGGTACCATATTCAAAGATTTGTCTTCTAATGAAATATTATATTTTAAACAGTAACCAAACTGTAGTGACCTTCAAGTTTTCATAAAATAGAGTTCTAGTTCTAGACTCAAAACCATTTTTTCTTCATCATTGCTGTTCTTTTTAGTGATATAGTTGTTCTTAAGCTGTAAATAAAAGTGTTTGTCCTCTGTTCTTATATTTAATTATTTATGATTTTCTTATTTTATAAAAAGGGTAAGAACACTTCACCACAAGCCCATGCTGTGGAGAAATCTGTATTAATGTTTTAAGCATAAAGCAATATGTCGAATATGTTAAAAACCTCACCTACGGCCCTAGTTGCAAAATATACACTTTTATTGTTTTTGGCGTTTGAATATCTTGAAATACGAACAGGTTGGCACCGTGTTCGTTTCTCTATCTAGACAGCCTAAAATTAAGTTTGATGCACTTATTTTTGTTGTTTAGATAAACAAAAAAATTCGAACTTTTTTTGTAGTAACTAAGGAAAATTTTAATTGGTTTTATTAAAAACGTGTCTTTAATGTATTTGGCTCAAAGTAAACTGTATTCCTAGTTGACTACATTATACCACATGTTATTTCTCATTTTAAAATATTATAAGATGTCCAAGAAAGACGAAGTATCACAGTTAAAACTCATAGCTTACTAGCTAGCTTTCAACTAGGGAAAAGAAGTTTAAAGTTACAATTTTATCACAAGTTTATTTAATCTTTTTACAAACAATAAAATAATGTGTGATGTTTGTATAACAATCCATAATAACATTCATTTAGTTTCTAAAAATACAATTATATTTGTGTTACACATATTTATTTCATTTTTAACGTTAAATATATATCTCTAAAATCCGTAAAACTAACATTCATAGGCTCTATGTTAAGTTGTGCTTAGTTTCTTAAGCGTCAGTACAAATACTTAATACTTGTGTACTATTTAGTTGCAATTATGTACACAAGTCTGCTTATACACAGGTCTATACAATATAACGATAGTATACAGTTATTTACTTGTTACATTTTCATTGTTTTGTATGATTAAGAGCGATTAGATAAAATATAAGATACAAGACTGCAGTCTTAGAAAGTATTAAAATAACAAAAAAAAACAGTATATTAAAGTATAGTAAGTATATTAAGTATTAAAGTATATTAAATAACAGCTTTTAATAAACACATCATCCTCGACACAAAACCAAACAAAAATATCGTTGAATATTGTTAATTAAAAATCCAGAGGGTTTAATATTGACTATTGGAGTCAAAGGATTGATCTACCAATAAATAACTATGAATAATGTATTTTAAAATAGGCAGGCTTTCACTTCTCAGTGGTTTCTCAGTCATTTTAATATATAAAAGATCACTTAATATATCAGAAACATACATTTAATTTGTTGATGTTTTAAATATATAACAAACACAATTTAATAGTGATTTTTTTCAGTTTACAAATACATAACCTTTACCAAGGCATCTCCAGGTTCAAGCAGAAGTTTGTTTTGAGTTAAAAACATTTTCTGTATTTTAATTTATAACATAAAAATTACAGAATACGCTTTTACTCTTGTGACACAACACTTTATGGTTTGTTTAGCTTTGGGCCCAATTAATCATCTAGTTTAAAATATGTTTTCCCTAGGTAAAATGTTACAAATAGATCACTAAATGTTCTTTAGTAAAACAATACTTACTTAAAACGATTGCAGACTAATACTTTTTTTATGGGACAGCCACATTTTTATGCAGGTATTAATGTTATAATAAAATTGCATATTATTCATCTCTCAGAACCTGTTCGCACAATCAGCCTTGAATCCACTCTGTGGCAAAATTAAGTTGTAAAAGTTATTATAATTGTTTGTTTTGTTCAAGATCGAATCCTACTAAATTATATTTTACCATCACGAGTTTGCTTGGTTAATAAAATACACAAAAGATAACCATTGAGTAAAAAATGTATTCTATATCTTTCACTTTCATGAATGATTGCAATTAGACATGTAATCAAAAAAGTAAAATTATTCACGAAAAATTTTAAAAATTGTTTTAACAATTGTTTTTTACAACTACTGACCTCCCTTTTACATAATTGAGTCAATTAACCTTATTCAAATAATCCTTTAAATAAATAATTGTCTTTCTACAAAAGTATTTTTTATTTTTTCCAAGACTTATAAAACGATATTTTACTTCCTTAAACATAATTACAGTATCTCAGTACATTTCTCCCGGCCTAAAATATGTAGTTGATGAATCATTTTGTCCATATAAGAATGTTTTGATGTTGTTGATATGCATTTCGTGTTGTTGGGATGCATTTCATGTTGTACTTTGACATGTAGTGTTGTTCGTAGACATCGTGATATTAAACCTTTATTATTGATATTAATTACACGTTTTTTCAGTTTGCTGTGTTGTCTGTATGTTTGTCGTGTTGCTGGTATGCATATCGTGTTGGTAATATGTTCTTGGTTTACACATCGTGTTAGTTTAACTGCCGCGTTTTTCATGGTATGTATAGTAAGTTGTAGGTATGACTATCGTGTTGTTGATTGTTACCGGGTGTTAACGTGTTGTTACACCCCCTCCTCCACTGTCAGCTCCAGACACAGACTTCTACTCATTTCAGCACGTGGAAGACATTGATTTCTTGTGTAGTCGATACTCTGTGGGCGTCAGCATACCTCTGAAACGTTGTTAAATTAATTAAATTAAGAAGGATTTTCGGTACTTTAGCTATTTTTTTTTGTCTTTTATCTGAAACTACCTAAAAGAATTGATTCACGCATTATTTATTAACAATTAACTGAAGTGAGTTAATCTCAAAGAATTCTTTTATAAAAGTACCTATATTTCAATCTAGTATGTTCTGTTATGCCACTAATTTAATGTCATTGTGTTGAAAAATATATTTATTGTTCTTTTGTAGAAAGAGTTTAGATTTGCCAGTGCACTTTTGGGTGTTGAATCTTGACCCAGTCGTCCAGTAAAGCACTCTGACTACCAAATCAGCCGACCTTTTCCTTCAAAACATACTCAACTTTAGTAGTGTATTGTGTCTAACAATTTGAGATACCAGACATTATGACGAAAATAATACTTTCTTTCTAGTTACTTCACTTTCACTGTTCAAACTGCAAATGTTTTCCACATCTCAAGATGAGATGCCTAAGTACTTATAGGTCTTATAAGTCTAAATATCTAAGTACCTGAGCACCGTGTCGTACGATATTGATACTCCTTTGTCCGCCATCTTGCGGAACATCTGCCAGCACTCTTTCTCCTTGGCGGTCTTGAAGGACGGTTCGCAGTCCGGGTCCTCCGCTGGGTCTAGGGGTGTCGGGGCCGTGGTGGGTCGAGACTCAGGAGGTGAAGGCTGCTGCAACGGGGGAGAGACAGCTGGTAGTAACGAGGGTGGCTCAGCCTCCGCTACAGACGATTCTTCTATCTCGGGTATGGACTCGGCATCGATGCTGTTCTCCTGACTGTAAAAAAATTCGAAGTTGAAACAAATCTTTGTATTGAATAATTGAGATGCAAAATCTGATGAATATTATATCGACGGGACTGCAAGGCTTTTCACTATCATTGGCTGAGCCAAATCTATGAGTATTTATATGACAAAAATGTACAGCAATATCCTTAGTTATGTTTAACGTATTAAAAGTATTTACGTTATTTAACTTATTTAATGGACATTTTTATTCTAGACTAGCTGTGTACCCGTTCTACGCACGGGGATCTTATGGTATTCAGTTGAAACCTTCTTATATAAAGAACAGCAGTTGGTTTGCATATTTTCATATATGCTGGCCAAACTATTATACATAGGTAACTTCATTTTGCGTTGTTCGTTCCGGATTGGTATGACAATCAATAAAAGGTTAAATTACCTATGTCCGCCGGTCGATCCTAATGTATCCTATTACAGGAGATGCATTTCGGCGAAATTAAATCGCCATCATCAGTCCTAATATAAGGTCTTGAGCTTCCCCATTAGGTGCGTCTTGGAGTTTTTGAAACACATACACAAACTGTACACTTATACACATGACGAATAAAACATAAATACACGGTAGGCCTACTTTTATTTTTACTATGGAAATGTAGACGCCCGTCGATCGTGTGCCGAGTCTCGACTGAAAACGCTCATTTAAAAAATGTAAGTTTCCTAGTCATATACAACACTGATTCAAGGTTTTTTTCCCGGTTATTAAAAATCAAGAACAATTTTATACACAAAGAATCTCTATTTTCATTTACGGTTACCGTACACGTTATTGCACTTGCGATAAATTAAATCCGTTATGTAAGGAAAAACGTTTTTAATCTTACTTGGTTTGGATTTGCTTTCAAAACATGATCGGAAATGGTTGCGGTATTTGTAAACAACATTCAATGTAAACATATCAGTGACAGCTAGAAGAAATAATCTTGATTCGAACAGCTGTTCGTTATTTCATACATCAATATGTGATTAACATTGGGAGAAAACTTTACAAAAAATCGCACAAAATTGGGTTTTTTAATGTCCGTCATTTTATTTACAAAGTAGTGACGCCATATTTTAATGGCTAAAGACAATCTCGCCAATCCAGTGAATACATTAAAATGATTTGGAACTTGATAGGTACTCTCGTTTTTCAGGAGAAGGCCGCGTAAAATGGCTCTTGGGCCGTGACAGACAGGAAGACAGACAGACAGACAGACAGACAGAAATTTAGATGAGACTTGTTTCGGTTTCTTTAATCTATAAAACGTAAAAATAACCTAAAAGTTTATGATTCTGAGCAATGTACAGACAAAACTCTAATTTTATTTATATAGAGTAACAATACCACGGTTTGGACCATTCCCTTTAAACATAAAACCAACTTATATAGAAAACGCACAGAATACAAATTTAATACTTAGTCATGAAAAAGAACAGAACAATCAAAAGACATTATTAATAATGCCTTAAATGGTTCTTGTTTACTAAATTATTCACCGGTACTTATGTTAGTTTTGTAAACCAGTATGGACTGAAAATGGTAGTATTTTCCCATGGCAATTTACAAGTTCGCTGAATATAATGCTCGTTAAAATCGTGCATCAAAGGCAATGTTTTATTTGCTCAATTTACTTTGTCAAAAAGTAAAGAACTTTTTTATTTTTTTAGTCCTAACATACTATTACTGCAAACTTTATTACTGAAATTACTATTTAACTATGATACCTTGTGAGTAATAAATTCGTCAATTATCGTTATTGATATGGCTAAAGTTATTGCTATTATTATTATTTAAATATTTAAAACAAACCAATTACGTCCCGATTATTCCATCGCAAACCATTGACTAAAACCAAATCCAACCCTACAAGATTTATTTACTCTACAAGAACAGAAATAGCTAAATTCATTGATAGTGCTATAACAATATTTAAAACAAACAAATTAAGTCCCAATTATTCCATCGCGAGCCATTGACTTAAACCAAATCCAACCCATGTTCGATTTGACATTCTAAAATCACAAAATCAAACCCCGCATATGTCATCGGTTACAACAATGTCAATACTCATATCTACTGTCAACGTCTTCCCATTCCCCAGTTAAACTGTTTCCCTATTACTAGACAAATAGATCCGGTAATGCAAAGCATGCAAGTTTCCACGGAATGTATTGAAACATGATGAGCAATGACGTGGTCTCATCATGTCATCAATGCCTTCTTGATATCATGTACGTTTACTTTTGACAAAACTTTATTTATACATTGTAGCCTATCATGGATGTCATTCGATTAAAAATCTAAATTATATCCAACTCTTTTTGTGATAAACGGAGTATATATCTGTACTCCCGTCACGTGTTTTATAAATGTTATGGGGTTTGAGTCATTCAAATTACTCAATGGTGTATGTCTGTGTTTGATAGTAATCCAATTATTAAGTAAAGCCCTTATTTTATCTGTTCGAAGTAATTAATGCAACTTCGTAAAAAATCTAATGCATATTAACAGAATTCAGACATTGAGATTCAAGTATTTACACTGGGTGACTTGTCTTATAGTACATGCAGTATGCGTCTACAAAGCATGGGGAGGGTCAGGTAATGTATTGATGTATTTATGTATCAATGTGATGATTAAATATCTTATTGTAGTAACATACAGTAATTACAATAAATAATGATTAGCAAATTATAAGTTCATAACAATAAAAGATTTGTTGATTACTATTTATAAAAGTAATCAAACTTATTAAACTGAATAACTTTTTATTTATTTTGTATGAATATAAAATAATTTATTTTTTTATACACACACAAAATGTATTTACAGTTTGTAAAATTTTTCATTTTATTCTAATAATCTTATTCAAGTAAAATATGTTTTGATTTAATTACATTTAGTAAATAACGTTTTATAAATTAGTAATTTTCTATTCGCGTAGAAATAAAAATAAACATACAAAATAGGATTTGTAAAAAAAATATTACGTAGAAACTTGCTTTGGGTGACTCAAAAAAAAGTTTACGACACAAAAAGATTAGTGTATTAATAAGTTATGTTCTGAAAGTTTCTAGATTATTTAAGTAGCCTATAATTAAATTTGTAATAATAAATGTGTCTAATTTTATTCCTACAGTAATTATTTAATTTTTTTAATGTCAAAAGTTCAATATAAATTTATTAATTAAAATGATTTAACTATTTGTGTGGATAACATAATATAATACAATTAATTTATTAAAATCAAACTTTGTGACTAATGAATTTGTGTTTACTATATCTCTTTTATTGTTTAAACAATACTTGCAAAAATAACATCAACGCTTCCGATGCATATAATTTAACGCAAAGCATGTTACCTGGACAGAAATCCGTGGTAGTTGAGCGGAGGCATGTCTATTGTCTACTGCTACACTGACGACTAACAGATACAGTACCACAGTGGCGTGACGGTCGAACAAAACTATCAATCGCAATGAAGGGGGGGTCGGCGACCCAAAATGTGGACCAGGGGGCCAGGGACGCCCCGCCGGGTCAACTCTATATTTTCACTTGCCCTCTTTTCTTTTCCGATCGACTTACATGTTTCCTTTGTCTACGGTGCACGGGTTATGCGCTCCGGCACGAAACGGTGCATTGTCGCTGTGAAAAACGGCCCCATTTACAGTTCTTGTTATCCTTAGTTCAAAGGTATGGTTTACTGTGGCTGTTTGCTTTTACGAGTTCGTGAAGATGGGGGTTGTTGTCTGAGAAGATGGGGGTTGTTGTCTGAACGTTATTTTCCGTTTTTATTTAATAGTCAAGTAGATTTTTTTAAAGTTTTTTTTACTAATAGAGAAAAGGATTTTCTTGTAAACATTAAAGATATTGGTGTAAAAGTAAACCACCTCTAGGGTACGAGATAGACGATTTTGAATTAAATGACGACTCTTTTTTTTTAAAAAAAAGATGCTTACTTATGAACGCATATAGATTATTTTATTTGATATTGTTTTGTTTCGGGGTTTTTTTTATCATAAGCAGCAAATTTACAAAATCTACGCTTGCTTGATTACAGTCACGAGTTTTATTTGAATCATTTTGAGATTTTACAAACTAGAGGCATACAACAATTGATACATGCTTGAAGTTTAGCTCCCTTCTTTTATTTTGACTCAAAATCTTTTAGAATAATGTATATTATGTTAAACATAATACCCTTTTACAACCCTATTATAATTTCAGTAAATTGACGAGACTAGACTGAGCCCATAGAAAGGACTTGATGGTATGTTTACCAGTAAGTTGACTTGAGTAAGTTTACTCTTTGTCATCAATGAAAAATTCCCCAACAGTTCTTCACCAACAAGAGTGTAAATGTGATTTTCATAGTGATCTAAGGAAAGTTAAATAAAGTTAAAAAGTCACATAAGTGGTGACTGCAATCGAGATAGTGCATGCTACTCATCTTATTAGTCAAACACAGTACCGCCACTACTGAGCTACCTCGGTCGATTTTGAGTTAATATTTCAATCTGGACGATAAAAAACTGTGTAAAGCCCCCTAAAATATATTTATTTGTATAAACAATTTAATAAACATTTTGTAATATTTATAAGTTTTTAATCATTCACAATACATCTTTGTGTTTGCCATTACATGATTTGTTTTTCTAAGACAGTTTACCACAAATGATGAAACATAACAAAGCCATTTGTAATGTAATTAATGTTTTGACAAATCATAATAGTATGCCGTCCTGCAGTTTTTGTTGGGGAAGGAATACAATATCAGTAGGCTTGCAATTTCAGCGAGCTCGTCAGAATGTGAAGGATCCACAAAACCCGGAACGCAACACGCACCCACGCCAGGCTGGCCTACTTTACCACCCCTACTGTTGTGAGTAGGGCAAACACCAGTCAGTCACAAGCTCTTTGACAGCTGATTTTTTAATTATTCATTTTCAGGACATGTTTTACAGACTAGCTAAGCTGATGGCACGTTTTCCATTAACCTAGATGATAAAATACCCCGCCGCAGCAAACCTGCAGACTAAGCGAATTTCCATTTGCCTGATTGGATTTACACTAAAATGTCTCCTTAAAAAACATCACATTTATTGCATATTTAAATAGAATCAGTTTAACACATACTTAGGTTTGATGCAACAGGGAGGGTAAAAGTGTGTTTTTATGTAAAATGTTAATAGTAAGTAAGAAATAAAAACATTTTCCAAATTTGAGCAAAATATATTGATAAACAAGCAAACTACATCAGTTTACTTATTCTCCATAAGTAAACTCTCCATAAGTAATGGGAATTTTAAATTTACATTTTTTTGGAATTTTCTCCGTAACCATTGGTCGCATTACAACGCTTCAATATACTAAATTATTTGTTTTTTAAGCTCTACAAAATAGTTTGAAAAGAAATTGCAAAATTTTATGTTATTAAAACCCTCCAATACCCTCCATAAAACCCCCAAAAAAACCCCGTTCCCATGGTCCGATCATGCTGGTTCGCAAACTCATTCGAATAAACGTAGGTTTACACGTTTGTACTGAATTTCATCAAAATCGGATCATTTTTGCTCAAGTTATCGCGCTAACGGACATATATATATATATATATATATATATATATATATATATACTTGAACGGATGGTGTTTTTGGCCTCTATGGACCTCAAAACGAAAAAACCGATCCCGGGTCCAGGTCTTACCATGAGTACTACGGTAATAACTTATTCCCTCTATGGGAAATTCGCTAATAGATCATCTAGCTAATTAGTTCATTCTAACTAATTCATTTATCATAACACTTCAAGAAACTACTTTTTACTAAATACAAACTAAATAGGTTGCAGGTTTTTTGTCAGAATAGGAAAAACATCAAATATCTTTGAACAAAACTTCAGTAGCCTATTTACTTTCTAATTAGTAACAATATATTGAGAGACTGCAAAAGGACTTCTCATTCTGTCAAATTCTGAAGCGTATTTGATGTGTATCATTTCCGGTGTTAGAGTGTTGACGACAAAATCGTATTACTGAGGGGGCTCTATGACTGGTTTAAGAGAATACACGGTAGTTTATTAGTACATCGTTAAGTTTGGCCGAAAAAAATATTAAAGTAAGTGCAATAGTTTAATACAAGAAACTAGAATGATATACCTTAGAGGGTGATATTTTGCAGTTTACTGTTCTTCAAAGGAACAGCATTACGAGTTGTTCCGACAAACACTTCCTGAATCGAGTTAAGTTCTCTGCACCAACAGGATTTCTTGTTTCCGTCCTCTTGAACTTCCATATTTGGTGTTGTTTAACTATCCCACCCAAAGGATCTTTATGGCTAGGATTTTACTAGTCGTGTATTTTTTTCTTGTTATATTGATTTAGTCATGTCCCACTAAATTTGGTATTTTTTTTATTGCAGTTCGTTTCACAAGTTTTTTTTATATTGCCAACACTTTTTTGAACAGCATTTTACAAAGGTATGGTTGTTCTAGCTGTCATGGTTGTTCAATTGAAAACACGTTAGTAGTAGGACGTTTTTTGAAGGTGAAGGAGTGCGATTTTTGAAAAACGCCCATGAATGTTTCGTAGAAAAAATGTAAATCCTGACCACGAAAACTCTATCAATTCTTTGCTAGCACTTACCGTTTTCGATAGCCGTTATTAAAAACGTGTTTAAAAAAAAGGGGAGGATTGAAATTTTAAATTGCCACACATTTTAATAGGATTGGCGTAGATACCTCTAGTTTGCACCAATCTTTTTTCCATGCCCTTTCATTTGATATTATATTCAAAAACTTAAGTTAAATGTAGGGGGAAGGGGGTGAATGGGAACTTAACGTTGAATTCACAAAGATTTTGGCCTCTAAGTCGATAGATGATTCCCGCAAACTGCATATTTCTATTGCAGTTTTTACATAAATAAAGAACCAAGTTGAAAAAACAAACACACTGTATAAAATATTACCATAAAAAATTTATAGGTGCAATCTGATTGCTTACTAAAGTAATATTTATATTTAGACATTTTCAACTTATTCGACCATCAATATATATTTTGGTAGAGTTGGTATTGTGATAACTATAGGATTTTTGATAGTAGGAATTAGAGTTCATTTAGTTTGTTCAAGAAGTATAATGAAACTCTTAAGTGAAGAGAAAAGAAAGTCAATGACAATTGAATGTTAAATAAAAGCAATTATGTTCTCTAGTCACGATAGTAATTAAGAAAACTTTTGCTACTCTAATTAAAGTGGGAAATTACTTTGAAATCGAAGTCAAAAATGTTATTCTCTCGTAAAACCGTCTTTCATCTCCTTTACTGGCAATTTGACTTTTTTACTATAACTGTAAAACTTTTGTTTATAAATGTGCATTAATACAGCACGATGCAGTTGAAAATTTTTCCTTTAAAGAGAAATTGTTGTAGCCAAATGAAATTCTATTACCAAACGAAATTACATTGAAAATAGAGAATGTAGATCTTATCGCCTTGCGTTTTCAAAACCATTGAAATAAATGAAAATTAAATTTAAAATCAGGAAGAATTGTATACAGCAATGAATGTTTCGTTAAACTTACTACCAGACGAATAAAACGAAAATAAATATTATTATGATCAGTTTTTTCCTCTTTAAGTAAAAAATTAAAAAGAATATAAAACAATCAGAAATTTATCAGTGCCTCTGAGAATAATTATTTTAGGAAACAGTTAAATTCGTGCACAATGTATCTTTGTTGCATCTCTTGAAAGCTGCAAAGTGTTACAAATCACAATATTAACAAATTAACTATTTTTCATCGTAACCACCTAATGTAAATCATACTACTTTATCTTAAACTTTCAACATTCTATGTTTTTATCAAAGTTTTTAAAGCAGCGTAAGCACACGCTATATTCTACGTTTGCCCTTCATTCTTGGTCACCTTAATAAGCACAAATTTTTGCGTCACTGTGAATTGTATTGTAGCATGCTGGAATCGGATTGGTCCCTTGATAAGTCCAAGATAGGTATCTTTGTTGCTGCTATATTCAAAGCAAATTATCCAAGTTGGTAGCCCAGAGTTTGTAACCTACTTAAACTCGCAATACGCACGATCACACCGTCAGTCTGTATCCTAGATACCAACCCTATGTTGCCAGTGCTCCTAGCCTTGGTGAGGCGGCGGCGGGCGAGGGGCGGCGGTGCTGCTGGGGGCGGCGCTGCAACTGGAGGCGGCGGAGTAGTGTCTGGGGGCGGCAGTATCAGCGACGTCCCGACACCTCGTCTAGACGGGTAGCTGGCTGTATAGCTGCGGTTAGGAGGCGTCCCTTGCTGGAAGCTTACTGCAATCAATCAAGCAGAATTGTATGAAATTTTGGATGTAAAAATACTATAAATTCAAACTACTTATCCTAA